TCTGTGAAGCTGCTAGTGGGTTTGAACTGCTGACCTTGTGCCTAGCAGCGCAACTGGTAATGCACAGGGTTCCTTCCAACACAGCCCAGTTGTCTAAATAGTCACATTTATACTCCAAGGAGTATAAGAAAAGCTCAAAACATGAATCAAAACTATGTTATCATACACTGGGAGAAAGACGGAGCTTTCTTCTCTGGTAAAGAGTTACAATATAGGAAACCCAGGGGGACAGTTCTACCCTGCTCTATGGGGTCACTATGGATCAGTATTGACTCCAAGGCAGCGAGTTTTTGTTTAGTTTTTTTTTAATCATTTAAACTGTGGAAGCCCTGGTGGTGCTAATGGGTACATGCTGGATTGCTAATTTTAAGGCTGGTAGTTCAAAACCACCAGCCACTCTGCAGGAGAGAGATGAGACTGACTGCTCCCGAATCAGTCCTGGAAACTCTATGGTGTGGCTCTGAGTAGAAATCAACTTGATGGCGGTGGGATTATCATATGAACTAACAATTAATTACCCTTCTAATTACCCTCTTTCTAAGCATAAGTGAGGGATGTAAAAGTAAATATACACGCTAAAGTTACAGTACAACTTAAAAATAAAAATTGCACTGGTCATGCGTACATGTATTCAATGATTTTTCTGCTGACATATCACTTCGAAATGAGTCAAAAGTGTTGATATAACAATTGTGGTTGATGTGATCTTTTGCCTTTTTCTTTAGAAAAACCGTTTAGGAAACTTATTCCCCTTTAGTCCTGAGTTGTTGCTACCTTTGCCCTAGGTTTTTGTAGTAGTTGAAGGGACCTTGCAGTTTGCTTTCTACCCCAAAGGGTTTATAGCTTTTGCTCAGGGGAGGAGGTGTTCATGCACACAGATAATGCTACTTTTAAAGAAGACGAGTCAACTGATTGACTCAAGATTGGTGAAGCAGGCCAGGCCTTTTAACTGCTAAAGGGATGAACTGCTGATGTGTTCGGAGCTTTTCTGTAGAACGCCTCCTGCCTAAAACCGTCTTTTTTTAT